CGACTAAGCAGCAGCAGCAGCAGCGACTAAGCAGCAGCAGCAGCAGCAGCAGCGACCGCAGCAGCAGCAGCAGGGAAAGAGTGAGCTTTCCTTAGGGTCTGTCGTGCCCCAACATATGGTCTCGAACAATAGCACATATAGGTGCTGCCTGAGTAATTGTAGAAGGGCGACGTGGAAAGACAGATATATCCGATATATCTGCTTTTTTCACGAATAAATGCTGACGATGCAGCCAGCAGCGGTGTGCATGATTGACATCTAGGGGTTGTATGCGAACATGTGTCAGCGACCGAAGACTCCGTCGCAACGCTTGTGCATGCTCCCTGTCGCTCGAACATGGAACGCGGACTACCATGAGTGAAGCAAACAGCCCGTTCAAACATCTTACTGGGTTCTGTCATTATGTGTGAAGTAAGTATCATCTTTTGATCTGCATGGATAGCGGATAGTGCATTCTGATTTGTACTCTTGGGTTGTGGGGTGGGCACATGCCTGCACAAGCTTCTTAAGGATATAGTGAAATTAGCATCGTTTCACGACTCAGAGGGAATGCAACTACTCTCCAACAGCAGCCAACAACCCCAAACAGCAACAGCAGCAAAACGGAGCAGACAACAAGCAGCAGGCAGCCATGCAAGCAGCAAGCAGCAGCAACCAGCAAGCAGCCAAGAGCATCCAGCAGCACCAAGCATGCAAGCAGCAAGCAGCCAAGAGCCAGGCCAGCAGCAGCAGCGACCAAGCAGCAGCAGCAGGTACCGAGGAGGAGAAGGGTGGAGTTGAACCCAGCGAGGGGGGGGGGGTCTAGTCCTGATATATCAGGTAATAGCACTCAGGTCCTCAGCTCCCACCCTCCTTGCTAAAGCAAGACAGACTCCAGCTAGCTACAGTACAGCTAGCTTTCGTGACAAACGACATTCCAAAGAATTGCAACTAGCCCAAAGGATTCCACAATGGTCCCTTGGTTTGCAAAAGAACATGTAGTGAAACGATGTGAAACGTTTCATACCCGAAGTTCTCCTGCAGTTTGCACGACGCCACCGCCTCCCCGTGCCGGGCTTCGCCTAAGAGCTGCCGCTTCAGCAAGGGTGGCCAAGCGCTCTGTCCACCGCCTTGTCCTCCAAAACCCTCCGCGGAGAGCACCTGAGCACATCAAAACACATCAGGACAAGCTACTTGCAGCAATCCTGGTTGTTCCGGAGAATCAATTCAGCAACTTTAAAGTTGGTAAAGTTGGTCATAAACAAAAGGCTGACCCTGTTTGACCCTCACCTTCAAACCGTTCAACAGATTCCGAGCGTCTCGCTGCACTTGAGGTCTACTAATTCGATGAATCATGTCCAATCACCCAGGATTGGCGCTGTTCCTGCCTCCGTGTATCGTGGTTTAAAACCACGAAGCATTCATTCACGTATGTTCTGTATACTATATCATTGTGAAACAGCCCGTCGAATCGAACCCTTTCCCTCCCTCCCCCTCCCACGCGTCTGGGTCCAAGGCACTGCCACGCTCTTCCGCGCCAAGGCCTCCGCGCACCCCAGAGGCGCCGAGGGCCAAACCAGGCTGCGGGCCGCATCCCAGGGCCGTGCCAGGAACGCCTTGACGGAACACCGGAACACTTCCCGGAGAAGCTCCGGGAAAAAAAGAATCCTTCAAATGGTCTTGAGTGGAGAAAGGAACTCCATTCTGTCCATCGATCCATTCAAACTTGTTGAGATACCTTTTTGTTGCCAGGTGAGGGGGGCAACTTTGGAGAAGTTTGGGTGGTTTTTGGGGGAGTCGAACTCAAAAGCAGGACAGCTTCCACAAGCGTGGGAGTAGGAACATTGGATCCAGGTATGTCATGTCTCACAATGACGGGACTCTACGAATGTCGCGCTCAGCTATATAGATATGTAGAATGTAGAAAAGGAATATTCTACTTGCATGTATGGATAGAAGCTTCTAGTAGCAGGAACATAGGGCATCACCACTAGGAGCAAGAAGCTACTAGTAGCTTGTGGCATCGCTGCTAGGAGCGTTCGGACGCTACTAGGGGCTCCTGGCCGTACTACTAGTAACAAGAAGCTACTGGGACCTTTTTCTCAAAAACTTCAACCAAGATAAAGCCATAATTGCTCAGCAAAATCTCCTCACCTCCAAGCTTGACCTCGCCTCCACCCTGGAGCAGCACGGCCCAGAGTCGGACATCTCACCTCGCAGCACGTCGCCGCAGGCCTTCAAGCGCCGAACCGGCCAAACCCCAAGCACTGCACTGTGACAGCTGCATTGGGAGGTGAATCGCGCTATGATTTGTAAGATGAGGTGAATTGTGATTCTGCAAGCTGGGCACACCACTCGACAAGCTCTAGTTCAAGCCTTTATTGAAAAGTGCAGATTTACTTACACTTCCAAAGACCCAGTTTTTTCAAGGGTCGTGGGCAGCGCAAATGGAGACCGCAAGTATATATATTTTGGTGAGCAAGGCAAATCCAGTCTCCGTCTCAGTGCTGCCCTGGCTTTTTCCAACAAAAGCCCCTCTCTCAATAGAGGGGAATGTGCCAGGCCCCTTTCCGCTACCATCCACCTCAATACTAGCTTGGTATCTGCTTCACAGTCCCGAACGTAACCTGAGATTCTATGCCGGTCACTCTAGTCACTCTAGTCATCACCAGGTGGTAGAGAGACCATCAAAACATCTATGCGGAAGCACAATACAAAAAAGAGAGGAGGAGGATATGTATACTGTATACTGTGTATGCGTGAGTCTATGTATTTCTATATGTACATATATATTAAAACACGTGCTGGCTCCAGCTCCTTAGACTCACAGCACAAACCTCTCAAAGTCATCCTTGGAACGCAAGACGACAAAAGTAAAGAGCATTTAATCATGTCAACAACATGTTGTGTTTTCTTGGCAGCCCCCCAGAGCCAGGAGCTTCAACATGTCCTCTACCGACCCACATGGCATCTCCACTTGGCATCTCACCTCCCCTTCGGCCAAGCCGTCCAGAAGTTCCGTCGTGGCGCGCAAGGCGGCCAGTTGCACCTGGGCTGTTCACAGGTCGCATCCTTTTGTTGGACAGCTGGTAACAACAAGAAACACGGCAGAGCAAGGCTGCTTGCTCAAGCCTGAATGTGACAATCATACAATCATGATACCGGCCTCTCTCAAAATGAGGTCTTGGAAGGTCTTGGAAGCACATGCAGCATGCACGTGTCCAATCGCAATTCATCACAGTGCATTGAATGATCATGCTTTGTAAAGGCCATGTTGCACTATAGAGACAGTACCGAAGACATGGACATGGACACTCACGAAACTATATATAAATGTCCCGGTTCATTGGTGCTGAGTGCTGGTTCGGAAACCAATGGGGACGGACAAGCCAATTGCAACGCCAAAGTCCATGTTAACCAGACGTAACACCGGACTGTTAGCCAAACGTAACACCACCCAACTGCTAGGCAGCTGGTCTATAAAAGACTGACTTCTTGGCTGTATATTTATTATAGCTAAATTGCCACAGTGGTCAATGCCACAGGAATGCGCCATGTCAAATGGTCCCTTTTGAATAGTGCCTGGATATGTATTCTGTCCTGTGTGTCTTTTTCCCGGCGTCGCATGTCATAGAAGTGGGCTGCAGGATGAACAGCAGAACATGTTCCTTCACAGAAGTTGAGAATAATCAACACCATTCTGGCTGTTGTCTTGTAGATCTTGCAGTCCCCTTCGATGATGAGCGTGACGAAATCTGAACAAATCGACCGCAGCAACCTCCCCTGCGGCGGAATGAATAGAGTACTCTGCACCCGTACCAATCAGAGTATTGAGGAGATGGCGTAAAACAATTATATAAACCCATAACCAAGACTGTGATTACAGTACTGCAACCCTCCAGAATGGCATTGAAATGTCCATATCGAAATATTATCCTCAACAGCCTACAGTCCATTACAGTCTAAGTCTACATAGACTCGGCCGGTTGAGGGCTCGCCCTTGCTCTGAGGGCCGCAGCCGGCTGGGCCGGATCCTGTAAAGCTTCGGCCAGGTGCTTTGGCAAATCACTCCGGGCAACGAAGTGCCAGAAGAAGACCTCACATCAACGCGTGCTCCGCATGCTCACGCTGGGTCTGTACACGTGGTCTTTCGAACTAGTGGCCCGAAACAAGCCACTCCCGCCTGACATGGAACTGCGAGACCCAAGACTTTCCAAATACATCCTAATACAGGCCTGCAAACCCAAACCGAAGCCGCAACGCCAGGGTGTGGAGGACCCCTGGCAAGACAAGGGCGCGTTTGATCAAGGCAACCCATTGGAGGAACCGTGACAACCTGTCAAATGGATGAGCAAATGCCGTCATTCTGGCCATCTCGTGCTTCCAACCCATACAGCTTGTTTCACATGCACAAAGTATGAAAAAGCATTGAAAGACTCCTGTTTGCGCTTGCTCCTGCAGCCCACCCCACCTCTCTGTGAAAGCCTGTCTGTCGGATTGCGGCATCCGCATACAGGACGTCCTGGGGCGTACTGGTGCACTAGGACCTAGAAGTCATGCACATCCAAACAAATGAGGGTGGCAATCCCATGCGAAGGCTGTCAAAAAAGAAATCAAACCAAACATAATGAAACTGCGAACCACTGAACCACTTCGATGTTTGAGATACAACTGACGTCCCCTCTGCTGTGTCGCCTGTGGCGCCGGGATGCGCGCCCGCTTCAGCACCGCTCCCAGCACGTGGAAGGCTGCAGCCCGTTGTGGCAAACTGGCCGAGCGGGACAACAGCAGCAGTTCGGCCAAGGTGTAGCCCGCCTTCACAGCGCCCCACATGGAGCTACCCTCCTCACACAATATGTCTATGCCACTCGAAAACTTACTGTTGGCAGCTCTGCTAGCCGGCGTCTGATACAGAAGGAAATAAGGCAGAGATCTGCAAGATGTTGCATATGACTCATATGACAAGCTTTAGAGATTCCTTGTTCTCTGTCTTTTCTCTCCCTCTCTCTCTCTCTCTCTCTCCCCCTCTGAGAGGTGCTTTTGCTCTGGAGATCTCTGGAGTGGATTTGCACGTTTCTTCCGTTCAACTTCCACCCTTCCCCCCAACCAGCATCACCAATGCAAGAGGTTTCACCCGCTCAAATCGAAATGCTGTGTGCACAGCTCCGCACGGCATTGGTGTTTTTTCCCGGCTGTGTGGGGTGAAGCCCACAAGTGGACACCTGACACCTGAAGGGAACTCTCCATTTCATGCAGTAGAGGTTAACCAAGGTGGACTTGGGCAGCCTGGGACCTCGCCCACCCTTCCGCAAAAGGGAAAAGCAAACCCACCACGCCTGGGAACTCTCTGCACCATGGTGGTGAAGTCCCTCGTTGCTCGGCTCCTGCCGGTTGGAGGAGCCACTCTGGCAGGCTTGAAAGCCAATGGCTTCTAAAGGATGACCAGGATGAGGAGGAGAATCTCTGCCGTTGGCGGGACCAAGAGAACATCTCTTCTTCCCTTCACCCTCTCAAGCCTGCATTGACTTGATTCATCAGTTTGTGGCACAGCAGGCGAAACAAATTTGGTGGTGTTGAGATTATGTACATCCTAAGTCCTAGGATCGCTCGCCAACTTGATCGCCAACTACACAGCATCCGTAAAGAAAGTAGTTAGAAGACTGCTGTAGATAAGGGCGGCTTTGCTCTATCCAATCCAACCATCTTTTTAGGGGTATCTGATGGTTTGTGAGCCCGAGGCCCACCCTCGTCTCGCACGGTTCGTAGCTGTTGGTTCCGGTGAAGGCGGTTCCCCGCTGAGCCTCATCGATTGGAACACCGATTTCTAGAGGCCCCTGGACTCGTTTTCGCCAATCTGCCAACATCTGTGCGATGCTGAAGGCACAAGCATCTCGATGAACCCAATCCTCCATTCACCTGCCTTACGTAAATAGATCCGGAGTCCGAACAAATCGGATTCTCATAAATGATGCGGTATTACAATAAGCTTCAAAAACAGTACTTTACTATGAATCAGCTTCGGGTGCTGGTTCTTCGAGTGACGGACAACCAAAAATGAACCAAACGGTCTGCCTCAGGGGATCTCAGACATCTTTGGGGGATCCTTACCAGTGCCTTTTGAACCGGAACTCCAAGTCCATGCTCCGTCTCCGACCCATCTTTTCCGACGCATCTCGAGCATGGCCGAAGCCACGTCTCGCCGCCATGGCCTCGCTTTTCTTCGAGCAGGCTGAGGCGCACTGTGGTTTCGGGCCCCCTGTGGGTGGCCGAAGGCGGCACACTTAGATGGGCATGCCCTTGTCAGGATCCCATCCTGGGCACTCTTGAAGGGTGCCAAAAGTCCCATCAGGCTTCTTGCAATAGCTGTAAGCACAATAAGTCATGTCGCATCCAGAAGAGCCCATGGCACAAGTCCAGTCTGCCACCAACTGTGCCTCCTCTTTGCTGGGCTGCCCCGGCGCAAAGGAAGGGAAGTAGATCGCCAACATGTCGGCCATGGTCCTGTTCTTGGCTTTTTCAATTCGCGCCTCACAGAACTTGTCGGCCTTGGACTTCATCCCCTCATAGTCAAACTGCAGGGAGCGATAGTCAGCTCCAAGCCACCCGAGGTGATCGCAATAAGTGGCATCATACAGCAAGACAGCTGTGCCTGTGCTGTTAATTTGCCTGGCTTGGATCAAGAAATTCTTGTTGTACAAAGCATCTGCACACATCTTCTGCATATTCAGCTCGCAGAAGCCGTTGCTGTTGCCTCTGTCGAAGTCTGCCAAAGGCTTGAAGAGACTCTCAGGATGTTCCAAGACACTGTGGTTGCCACAGTCCTTGCGTTCCGTGTAGTTGCCCCAGGGCTTTTGCGGGTCCGGGTGCCCACAGAGGGTGCAAAACCTGCCATTCATGTCTGTGTTCATACCGCGTGTGGCATCAAGCAGCGGTATATCTTTCCAAGCCTTCTGGCCCATAGCCTTGAGCTCCAAATACTCCGGGACACGTCCGCCTCGCCGCACTTCTGCAGCCTGGGTCTGCAGGAAGGAGCTGCCCTCCGTACCCTCGTCTGAGGGCGCGGTGTTTGGAACATCCCTAGTCTCTGCCAGGCTCAAACTCAAGGCAAGGAGCCACCACATGGAGTTCAACGCGGGCTGGCCTGGACAGTGGGGTTTCTGCACATGGCCACGCTGAGGCGTTGAGACTTGGGCCAGAATGGCTACGATAAATTCGTGTGGTTTGTGCCTGTGTCGGGTGTGCCTGGGTAGTACCCTGAAAAACTTGCAATCTGCTGAGGGGTTGTATGGGAAGTGGATGGGGGGTCGAATCTATGCGATCCTGTAGGTCGGTATGATGGGAGGTGATTGCTCAGCATGTGGTTGACCCCACTAACACGATGAAAAAAAAAAATATGCTGCGATGCGCCAAGCATCCAAGTCTGGTGAAGGGTCCTGGCTGCACTGCCTACAATGTCTGGCTGCACTGCTCCCTTTTCTTGGGACCTCTGCTCGAGTCTTGAGGGGCGGACATGGCTGCCGTTATTGCATAGATCTCCCATCCTTCAATATCGCAACCATGGAGCAACAAAGGTTGCACAGCCCATCCTAACACATCGCAATACCTAGTTTTGCAAAACCAATGGTTGGCAACGTGCCAAAGAGTGTTGCTTGATTGTTCCATGTGGCCCGTGGCTGTGTCTGGACACTTGAAATCTCCAAAACCACCACTTAGTGGAATGCCCCAAGCGTACCAAGCAGGTTCCCCTCCTATGGATCAATGATTCCCAACTAATTATTCCTCGGTTGGCCAGGTGTCTTCCCTTTGAACTTGATCAACATCACTTCACAAGGTCGCCGCTAAAGGTTGCTCCCCGGGTCGCTGCTCAGCATCAGCTCCTGGGCTTGCTCGCCTGGCAAGCTTTGGAGCGGGGCCCGAAGGGGGCGAGGTTCAGCTCTCACAATCAAAACTCACACCAAAAAGCATGTGGCATATCAACTCGAAGATGCTAGAAGTCTAAGAGTGTTGGGATGTGTATGTATATATATATATATAACTATATATATATATATACTGTATATGCGCATGTACTTGAGTTCTCCTCCATGTAGATGTCCGCATCAATGATTCCACAAATCCCTGAGGCACTTCATGGATATGCATGCTTCAGATTCGCCATACTTTCCAAGAGCAACCCACTAGTCACTAATTCCAGCTCCTCCGAGTCCGAGTCCACCCTCAGCTCACGCTCACATGCCTCTGGGGCACACGCGGCCCTCAAAATCAAAGCGCATGAGCTGCAGTGCTCGGCCGCAGGGCTCCGGTGGCAGGCTGGCATCTGCCAGAACCTGTTCCAAGCCGTGGCCATATGGGTAAACGCTGAAGTGGTTAAGATTGGTGCTTTTCGTCCAACCGGCAAACGTTCACTTAAAGATGTTGCTTTGCTATTCTTTCGCATCGCACATCACATCACGGCATCTGTCTCTGCCAAAACCTTGGTGGTGCTCGCGTGCTCGCTCGCTCTCGCTCTCGCTCTCCCTCCAACTCTCGCTCTCTCGCTCTCTCTGTCTCTCTCTCTCGCTTTCTTCCTTGTATTCTGCTCATGGCCGGGCAACCAGGATGTGCACATTGAGTCTTTCAACTCTCCACCGTCCGCACGCGGGGCCTTCTCCAAGTCGGGCTCTCCAGCCGGCAAGGTCCACCTGATGTTTCGGACGTGGATTAGGGGTGTGTGTGCGTGTGTCTCTCTCTCTCTCTCTCTCTCTGTGATTTCGCTGATGTCACTGGAGGCAGGGATCTGCAAGTCCCACATCTGATCACGAGTCAGCCACAATGAATTATCATCATCAGCTCTGCCAATTACAGTATTTAATTATGAGCACCCTGGCAACCGTGGCCCCAGCTGAAGCTTCTGTAGCTCTGACCGGTCCAGCACACCAAGACAGCCCTGGCCGAAAACTGGTTGCAACTATTGAAAACTGAACATACCAGTACTTCTATTATTTCAGACCTCTTCGTGCTTGAACAGTGTGCAGCAAGGAGGCCTGTCACAACTGTTACATTCGCCTGCTCCGTCTCTAAGGCGATGGGATTGCCTGCCTCCGGCTCCACGTCCTGGCTTCAAATCTTCGTCGCTACACCAAAGTCTCAGCTTTTAGGGCTGGTGGTGCTGCAACCCCATTAATTCTGGCCATCATGACCCTCCTGCAAGGTTGCAGCAAAGGCCGAGAGAAAGGCCGCAAATCAGAAGCTTGCCAATCCTGCCTCTGCAGCTTTTGCCACTGGCTCCTTGACCTGAAGACATGGACGGGGACAAGGACACGAAACGCTTGGACCCCTCGAACGCGGCGATGTTCGATTCCGTGACCGGTTAGGCCCAAGCCTCAAGCGGGACATCAACGGATTGGCCCAAAATCACCAAAAATGGCTTCGCATGAACCTCTTGGTCTCCCATCCCTGCCCATTCTTCTTGACCTCGCAGCTCTAGAATCCTAAGATCCTGCCTCTTCTTCAGCCCTCTTCAGCGCGGGTGTCTTGGGCATCTTGGCTTTGAGCTTCCGCTGCCCTCGCTTCCGGAGGAGTTCGCAGGTCTCGGCGCCCAAGTGTTGCAGCAGCTGCTGCTGCCACTCCTTGACCTCTGAAGAGGTCGACAGTCCACGCAACCGGCTGGGCGCTGAAGATGTGAACGCCCCCAACCGTTGTCTGCCAACACTTCTACAACACTATATGGTGTTTCCATGAAAGAATTGGCCAAAACCTTGGATCATCAGCACACATGGACCTTTCGTGTTGGAGACTGCTGGAAACTGCTCTTCATGCTGGAAACTGCTCAATGGAGCCCTTCGTGTTCAAGC